AGTTATGGTCACAAAACCGTAAACTCCAATAAAGGGTTCCCTTGAACCCTAAACTCAATAGCAATGTCCTACAACACTTAGATGCAATCCTTAGGACTTATAGCACCTAAATAAGGTGTTTTACATGTCCTAGGATGTCTTAACTTTGTTAATTAGTTGTTTAAAGACTAATTGGATACATATATGTGATATTATATGTTAACTAGGATCATCGTGTGTGTACAAGTCCTCACTTGACACCTAGCATCCTATACATTCCGTTCATCCAAACCACTCACTACAGGTGAGTTCATACCCCTTAATTAACCTTTTAAATGTTTTTAAATGTTTTAAATGCTTTTATGGGGGGGGGGATACAAGTTGAACTATTATAGTTATTATATCAATCACATGTGATTAATAACTACCAAACAAGTGGATTTCTTACTTTTCAAACTGTGTTATCAAACTGTTTTACTTCAAACTGTTTTACAAACTCTTTTACATATCAAATACTTTTATTAAGCTCTTTTAACTTATATTTTGTGTATCTATATGGATATAATTATATAAGTAGGATTGAAAGGACTTAGGACTGAGAACTCACCTTACTTCCTGTTCCTTGTTTGGTTGTGGACTTAGGGTATTCAGGTTATTTGTCCGAAGGTCGTTTGAATCCTAGTTATATATCATGTATATGTGTATAGATATAAAAGGTTACTTCTTTCATTCAGTTCAATGCCTTTGGGTAGAAAAGGTATACAAACATGTTCATATACACAAACAACATTACTAGTAAACTATAATAGGTATAGTTTAGGAAGATACTATTACTAGAACAATGAAACATACAATGAGTCAGTTCATTCATGAGTAATACATAGTGATGAGAAACAAACATAATACATAGTGATGAGAAACAAACATAGTACATAGTGATGAGAAACAAACATAATACATAGTGATGAGAAACAAAACATACAGGCTAGACAGAGAAAGAACACACAATACAGCTAGCACATACATATACATATACATATACATTACTTACAGTTATGTGAGCCACTTAACGGGGGCATGACACTACCTGTCATGACCCGTTTTGTATCCAGAATCTCCTTAAATGGGGAGCGTATGAGTTTGTGTATAGATCTATACTGGATTGACTATCCTACACCTTGCTGCTCGCTACAGTGGGACTTGCAAGTCTACGGGTGCCAAACGTCATTTCTTACAACGTCTTACATCGTCATTTTTCTATAGAGTCGGTAGCAGGATACAGGCCGATCACATGGTACTTTAAATAACAATTGGTTTAAGGTAATTAGTACAGCAGTAGTTACTTAATACAACACTACAATGCTATATCATTTTCCCTTTACATTTACTTTGTGATATTCACACAATAAACAATAATGTAGAAACTATATTTTTGGTTAATGATAGTCAGATTTGGGAAAATACGTACTCTTACAAGAGACACACACACAGACATTAGATGCCTTGGTAGAAGGCTACTTTTAGTAGGAAGCATAGGGTTTTCTAGGAGAATTCAAACAATTACAAACTTTTACAAAACTTATACATTACAGACTTACAAACAATTTCATACAAACACAGACATTAATATACTTATGATCTCACCAGCTTTAAAGCTGATAAACTCTTTCAAAATAACTTGTATTCTCAGGTCACCAGTAGACAGGTACCGGGGCCAGGTTTTGAGAAGATGGAGCTCGTTCAAGACTCATCTTTTATTTTGATATATATTTTTGGTGTCTATATAACTTGACAGAACACACTTGTATTAAATTATGCAATGGATGATGTTGTTTCTTGTTTACTACTTTGCATTGTTGTGATACTGTACATGACGTCCTCCACCCCCGAACGTTTCCGCAGTTCCGGTTTTGGGGCGTGACATTATGGTTTGTGATGGGTTATTAGGGTTACAACTACAATGCCTTAATCGAAAAACAATTAAACAATTCAATTGATTAGGGCACATGCAACCTAATTGGATCTATGTCTTTCACATATAGCAACATACTATGAATGGCTAATCTACAAAACTTTTCTATGAAAAAAATAATTCATAAGATAATAAAAACTAACCTTAAATATTGTTATAGAAAACAATATTGAATTCCTTCTTGATAGACTCTTGGAAGCAAGCGCCACAAGTGTCGCGCCTCTAATGGTTCACACCCAAACCCTAGCAACCAAGGAGCATGAAGAGAGAGAGGGGAAGAGATAGAAATTTTCTTATTTCTCTTAAGAATGAAGGCATGGATGAAATCAAACCCAAAGAGGGGTTTATATAGGTGATAGGAAAGTATTAGATAAGGCAGGTACCTCCACGATAACCCTAATCCCTTAAATTCCTCCCTAAGGCATCCAAGGCACCCTTAAAGCCAAAGAAAACCTTAGATAGCATTCTAGAATTCTTCCCCCGCCTAGGAAGGTTCCAGAATTGCTCAATGTTCAACTTTTGAAAATTGTCACCATTCGTCCTCCTACTTTTAATTAATCCAATTAATCCCAAAATTAATTCTAATTAATTTCTGATTAATTATTAATAAAATAATACTATTTCCAATTAATATATTATTCTCATAATATATTAACAAACTATTTATTTTTGATTTCCAATTAATTTATTAATCATATAATAAATTAATAAATCAGTCTCTCTCTCTCTCTCTAAAAGTTATCTTATTCAATTGCCAGGTTTGAGGGCAACCCAAAAGGATTGTGCTACTATCAATTCAAGTCTATACCAATTATAGTTATGGTCTTAGACACCTAATCCAATAGTCTCCCACTTGGATAAGTCTAATAACTATAACCTCAAGTATAACTACCAAACTAATCAGCAAATTGTAGCTACCAAAATCCGTTGTCGAACTCCGACCCAGTAAGTTACGTGTCCTAAGATAAGTGATCAAATATTCCTCTGTTCTACAAGATATCATTTCGACATGAGAGATGGATTATAATCAATCTCATTGTCCAATTATTGTTTCCTGATTTCTGATTTATGATGACTGAAATCAGACTACCAATTGAACATATCAGTTCAGTTCAGGCTTGGCCAAGCACTTTTGATGTCGATATCAAATCATCGAGGGGCCCAAAGATATCGATTTTCCTGTTAGGACAAAAGGAACAATAAACTTTGACTTATATGCTTTCACTATTTACTCATCAAATCATGCACAACAATACATTTTATAACATCAAGTTACTGATGCGTTTACGTATTATCAATGTGCAACAGACTTGTAAACAACAACTCATATATCTCCATTTCATGAATAAAAGATATTATCATCTCAAAATTACCCGTGATAAAATCCATGAAGTAATTCTGTGAGCATGGGTTTATCCAATACTCAAAATCCCCATTTTCTAAGTACTCATGAACATTGCAACAAAACTATTGCTATGTCTAATCTCCATAGACAATCTACAACTCAATTCATAACAGTCTTAATTCACTACTTACTTCCAAAAGTACGAGTGACTGTGGAATTTCGAATAATCAAATTATTCAGAAAGTAAAACATGCAAAGTGAAACACAGTAATAAACTAATTAACTATGGTCTCAAAACTATTAAGTATAAATAAAATCTGATTAGTTAATCACCATGTTAATTAAGACTTTATCCATTGTATAATGTTTCTGGTAATCAATTAACCACTTGAATTAAACATCAAGCATGCCATGTTATGGACATGCATACTATGTTTCTCTAAGGTCCTTACTTTGTTAACATATCGACTGGACACTATTCCAATGATGTTTATTTCACTACTAGAAAACTGCCCTTTAATGACACGCAAACAATGACACACAGTGACTTACGATACGTATTTTTTGTGTGTGCTAAAAATAACGTCCGTTTTAAAAAAAATGAACGATAGAGGACATGCATTTTTGCGTGCCCTAAAATTACTATCCAATAAAAAAAACTAAAAACATGGAGGGCACTTATGTTAAAATGAGTGTCGTGTACAGATGTCGCTTTATATTTTATTTAACAAAACGACCATTTTCTTCTTTCACAGCTCGATGGAAATGAAAATCCAAAAGTTTGAAAGGCCGCCATTTTATCCTCTACCTTATTTCTATGGTTCTTCTCTCTTACTGATCAATACCCAAAAAACCCTAATATAATCACCACTCCTCTTTTCTCACACAACAAGAATCTACGATGCCGATCATGAAGTTCTCAAAGCATTCAAAGATCGGGAATCGAGATCATTATTGGGCTAGGAAACGAATTCCTGAGAGATATAAGCACAAGACAGGATCGAGCCATGGATTGGGTGAAAAACAACGTCGAACCCTTCGTCCCCGGGACCCGTATCCATGGAATTGTAGTTAGAAACGAGGTTCTAGGTGGCGGCGATCAGGAACTATGGGAGGTACTGCTACTGGCGGTGAAAAATATCCACACTTCTCTCAACCTCCTCCACCTAGCCGACGATGTTGAGGTTTCAAGCCCACATTCCGCCTGTGTGTTCGCTAGTTCGTTCCCTCCGTCAGCCGGTGCGTTTGAGGAAAACCTAATTCCCTACCTGAAACTTCTCCTCGAATTCTTCTCATAGGACTTGTACCTTCATCTGTTCTAATTGTAATTGATTGATGGTTTGATCACTACCTGCAATTTGAAATCAGATCCCATTTTGCCGATGAGATATGTAATTATGACTGGTAGAATTCAGGATATTATTGCATGTTGCACTTAGGGGTTTTGAATAGTACATAATTTATTAACTGATGAAAATAGCAAGAGTTTTGAAATAAACACTAATGTTTAAGTTATGAATGAGGGTTTAGTGTTGACAAGGTGGCTATTTTAGTATTTGGTGTATTACAATCATAATTTATGTTTGTTAGACCTGTCAAAAGATGTCCTGTTGTCCAAGGACCTTGCCACCTGAACTGTACAAGTTTTTTTCATCTCTTCATCTTCTGATTTATATGGGTTCTTTGAAAATTGAATAAGAACCTATGTGGGTATGTATTTGCTTCTCAACATATGCTACATCTTTTCTAGATCACTTGTCTTACTGTATTATTAATCTACTTTTACTTTTTATTGTGAGTGAAGTTCTGAAAGGAATCTTTGTTGATATTTTAGGGTCCTACAAACAAGCTCATTACATGTGAGACATGCCATGGGGATTTTCATAGTTGCTGTGGTCATTTTGGCTACCTGCCACTTGTGCTGCCAGTTTATAATGTTGGATATATGTCTCATGTTGTGGACATTTTGAAGTGCATATGCAAGGTATTGTAGTTGCAGTTTATGTTTGCTTTTCCCCTTCCCTTTTTCTTTCCCATTTACATGGTTTTTCCTTTTTAGTTTTGTTCCCGCATACTGTTGGTGGAGACAGAACGTGTAAACTTCTTAAAGAGGATCCGAAATCCAAATTTGGACCATTTGAGGAAGAATGGAATTTATAAGCAGGTAGTTAAAAGGTGCACTTCTATGGCAAGTAGTAAGAATGTGGTGATATGTTCTAGATGTCATTAGTTAAAAGATGCACTTCCACGTCATCATACTTGCTTTCACTTGATGATATTGGTTTTTCTATATCGGTTTCATGTGAACCTGTGAGAAAGGGTCGGGCCCGTGGTCCTATTGTATTATCTGAACAGATTGGATCAATATCTCCTGGTATTTTGCCATATCTTTTGTATTATCACGTTGTGTTATTTTTATTTAGTATAGAAAACTCTGAATGGTTTATTTTTCAGGGCCACCAACTTGCAAGTCACTCGAGTTTCATGGGTCGATGGTTGAAGGAGGACAGTTGACCTTCATTGCATCTTATAGCGGAGGGTAAGCCGTCATTTTTACAAGCTCATTAAAGATGTTATTATTAGGAGAATGGTCTTAAAGATAAAATAATAAAGGATATTAAACATTAGAATATACGTGGAAAACTCAAAACCCCGAGAAAAAAAATCCAATATACGACAAATTATTAGTCACATCTACTTTGTTGTGTCGTTTTAATGTTTTTTTATTTGATACCTTTCAGGGAGAAAGGAGGTTGCTTCTTTGAATGGTTTAGAGTGAAGGATAATGGTAAAGAAACTACATTCTGAAGGTGATTATATTGCCTAATATATCTTATCACTTACATGCACAGTTGGCTACCCTACCCTGATGACTTGCTAAACAAGTGTTTTAGATACATTCTTAGCAGATCATTTGGATTTGACTCTAGAGGAAGTAGGAACATGTGTGGAGCTTTTTTATACACCTGTACGAGCAAATGGAGTTAAAGGAAGCCCAATAAGTATTATATATAGTCCTATTGCTCCTGCTGATCCTACAGGTGTCAAACTTGTAAATCCTGATTGCTGTGAGGCCAAAGTTGTGGTTCCCTTAAAAACATATTTTGTTAGACAAGAAGGTGAAGGAAGCTTGGGTATTATTATATCTAGTACAAAACTCTTATTAGTAGATCATTTTCATTCCACTATCATACATACCATGTGTATTATTAATTAGTTGATATTGATATTGTACAGTTGACATGATTATTGTGTAGGATTTTCGTGTTGTTCTTGATCAAGAGTTGGGATTGATATTGAAGCTAAGAGACATGATGATTGGTTGGATACATAAAGGGTTTCAGAGCTTCTTCAGACAGCTTAATAATTATTTACTGAAACAAGAAGGTGCCCCTTTATAGCAATGTAGTATTAGGTTATATAGTTAGGGAAAACCTCTTAATAACAATGTACAATCAGATCCCTTTAATATCAATGTATTACAATTTTTTGACATGATTTTATTGGATGAAATTGATTGTTTCGGTATATATTTGTTTCTATATGTTTGTATTATGCGTAAAAGAGTATCGTAAAGGCACGTCGTATATGCATATCTTAAATGGTTGCTGAAGTTTATGTCACGCAAATGCGTATCATCTTCATTTATAACAGGGGCTTTAATGATACGCAATGCGTGTAAGGTTACGACACGCAAATGTGTGTCGTCTTCCTTTATGATATGGCCTTCGTTGATACACATTGCGTGTCGTAAATACATGTCATAACTGCGCGTCCTAAATGCGTGTTGTAAATAGACGACGTGCAAAAGCGTGTCACCTTCGTTATGACAGGGCCTTCCTTGACACGCATTTGCGTGTCGTCTGAGCATTTTACGACACACATTGGGCGTCTTAAAAGGCTGTTTTCCTAGTAGTGTTTCACTATTCCAAATTCTTGTTACTACTAAAATGTGTTAGAATTCCAACCTTACATGCATTGTCCTTCTGTGATGTCGAAGCTTCAAAGTCACAGAGACTTAGCCAAAGATATTACAGAATGTTCCATTAGAACTCTGTTACTAAAAAGAATTCATGGTAATGAAGTCTCAAATTCAAGGTACACTCCTTGAACACCTTCCTTGCATTAAAGTTTTCAACTCACATGTATATTTTAATAATAAGCTCCCATTATCGAAACATTTCTATATTTATAGATAACCATCAATTCTGATAAAATATCATCTCAATCTAAAACATGTCACTAGTATCCTTCCAACCAATACCATACTTCCAACTGTCTACAAGCAACCAATCTTTTTGTATGACCTCAGAATGTTCTTAACAGCTGTTCAACTTTATTCACACAAAGTTCTAGTCCTTTTCCCTCTCAATGCCCAAGGCATGTGTAAAAATCATAACAAGTGAATATTATAGCATATGTAATCAATCCTATATCCAAAACATATGGGGCTCGATTCATAATGTCTTACATAAAGACCTGATATCTGATCAGTCTCTTGCTATAATATTTCCATATATCTAATTTCCTATGTTGAATCATTTCAACATGATATTCATATATGTCAAAGACTAAGCTCTATCAAACCCTTTAATCTAAACTTTTAGTCACAAAACAAAGTATGAGTACCCTCTCCCTTAAGCTTTTACTATAGATAAACAATTTCCAAACTTTGCAAGTTGCAAATTTTGTAAATTTTGTTTCCTACAAATAGTATTACCAAGTTGCAACACTTAGCATAACAATTATGCTCCTACTAGCATAACAATTATGCTCCTAATAACACAACAATTATGCTCCCAATAGCTTTGACATGTACCCAGAAATCGTCTGGACTTCTAGAAATCAATACTCTTGACTTTCTTACTAAGGTAGAGATCTCTGATACACAATGCTTCGACTAGTCTCCAACTAGACTTCTCAAGCTTATACACCTTCATTAGATAGCATATGTGTGTGCGTTCAAACTATTTCAGAACTTATAACCATATATCCTAAAGGTTCAAACAATTCCTTGCCATTTTTCATAATTTGAACTATGAAAAGGGATTCCGTAATCATATTGTGAATTTGGGAATGCAATTTTTACAGCTACTAACCATAATGATGTTTATCAGATCCTTTAAAATCTACTAGCGAAAGTGTTTCGTCATAATCATTATCATGAATTAGAGCGAAACCTTTTTCCACCTAGATTTTATGGTGTACATGTTCCCATCCATGTGAATCTATCATTTCCAACCTACGATCATAAGATAAGGTTAGGGACCAAACCAAACTCAAATTTAGTTTTTCCTTTCATGGACTGAACTTTGCTTGTCCTTAATTTCTTGCCCTTTGGTAGCACAAGGGCCTACCAGTGCTTCCATGTTGTTAAGCAACTCACCCATATTGATCAATGTACTTTCACTAAACAACATGCTTCGCCTTGGCAGTCAAATAAGAACCATAGAACTTATAAGCATTGCCAACGCAACTAGAAGGTGCAAAGAAACAAGAATATGTCAACTGAACATGATAGGTTATCAACCTCAGGTCGTGTGCTAGTGATAACTAAAAGGTTTAATCTTGATTGACTCTTGAACTTTTCAAGATCAATAAGACTCCTACTGACTTCTTAACATATAAGTTTCTATCTCAAGGAACATTCCTTAACGAGTTAAAATGAATATTCAAAAGTTAGTGTGGATTCCTGGCACAAAACACTTCATGAATTGGTCTTAGTTTATCCATTGTTTAAACCAAAAACATCACAACTACCAATTCCAAATGTGCTAGAGTAAGAAAACATTGTTACTCCACATTTCATAAGGTGTTATAAACCTACTTAGTATAAATTGAGTTTCCAGATACGATGTGTAGTAACTAAAGCATAACTCTAAAACTTGATTAGAAACAAAGTATGACTCATCTCTTGATAGAACCATTTCAACAATATATGATTCCTCTTCTTAGTAATACATTTTCCCTAAGGTGTTCTTCGAGGATAAATTGTGATACAGTTCCACAATCATTAAGATGATCATAAAACATGATACTAAAGTACTTTCCTTTTCCTTTCGGATTGGAGAAACTTTTATCTTTCTTCCTAATAGATTCTTCATATTTGTTCTGCTACTCTTTGAAACTTTTCAAAGCATCAGAATTGTGCTTAATCTTATAAACACAACCATGTTTACTGAAGCATCAGTAAATCATGACGAGTAAAGTTATCATCCTTTGTCGTGGATCTGAATAGTCCATATCAACATGTACTAGATCCATTAGTCCTTCACTTTTGAAGCACATAAACATGTGATCAATGAATTAGTCATAATCTTCCAAAAATCAAGATTCTTATACATCATGAAATTCAAATTGCATGACTCCAAGTTTCTATTCAATTGAAACTTGGGTGATGAGAATTCTTTATCACTTAGTCAATTGTGACATTACCACGAGCGATGTATAACAAGAATCAAATCCACAATTAATATTGCTAATAAAAGAAATGCAACCAACACTTTCACAAATGCAATTGCAAGGAAAATATCAAGTAAACCAACTAGATAAACCAAAATTTCACTTTTATTGATAATAAACAAAAAATTTGGAACTTGTCCTTACAATGCATAAAATGAAAACTATGTTTCTAGACATTTCCTAAGCAATCTATTTAATTATCCTAACTCCCAAGTAGCAGCTCCAAATTCTGATCATCATACCATGTGACCGAAATCCATCTCTCACGATCAGAATTAGCTTACTCTTCTTAAGCTTCATTCTTTATCTTAGTTCTTGCAATACAATCAAAATATGATCATCACATCATGTATTAAGAATCTATGAATAGGAACTTGTTAAGATAGTGGTGTTAGTTTATGAATGTACTTGAAGTAGAGTCACACGACTTGACTTTACCATCTCAAAGATCTTTCAAGTACTATGGGCGGCTTTGCAACTAATGTCCCTTCAATTGGGAATAGAAACATATGGACTCTTTAGGGTTAGCACATGGAACTATCTTAGAACTAGCCCTTCTCTTTGCCATATGATCAAACAATTTGACCTTGGCCGGTCCCTTTCCATTGGGAAGAGAAATCTGTTCTGGACCACCATTGTCACCATTTTCCATGTCCATGGAAACTTTGGAATTAGATCCTTCAAACACTTTTGCTTCACTTGTGCTCTTAAGCATTTCTTCTTAAGCGACAATCAACATATGTGTCAGATCAATTAGGGTCATGTCAAGGTTCCTCATATAAAAGTTCGCAATGAACTGGCTATATGACTTAGGAAGCGAAAGAAGAACCAAATAAATGGCTTGCTCCCTTGGGAAAACGACACCCATTCTATCCAGTTTGTCAATGTGCGATTTCATTTCCAGAAAATGCGCACACACATATTTTCCATCTTGATGTCTACATGTCAATAGGGCTTAAGTAGTTATGTATCTTTCAACTTGTGATACGGGGAGAGTTATTGGAGGAAGAGGAGGAGGAAGAGTTGGAGAAGCATGACGTCTATTTCCACCATTGCTCGAATAAGGGAACATTGTAACACCGTAAATTTTCAAATAAAATTTTCCATTTAAAATCATATAATTCTCAGAACACATTTCACAAAATCTCATTTATTTAATTTACAAATCGCGACTCCATAATAGTTTGATTAAAACCCAGATTCCTCAAAACAAAACTCCATCACTGGTGTGTACAATCAAGCCGGTGCCTTCCCGTGATCCTGAGAAAACCTGGAACACATATCACACAACATGGTAAGCACAAAGATTAGTGAGTTCCCCAAAATACCACACACACAGCTCATTA